TCGTCGTCCGTCACCATCAATTGAAACACTTAAATTATCATTTTATTTTTTGTTTTTATATTTTTATTAATAAAATTGATATTATTATGGTAATGAAATATAGATATTTTATTTTCATAACTATAAGAATATTAATGTAATTTTTTTAAAGTATAGAGATCGAAATATTAAAATAACTAACTATATGGATAATATATGAATTATATTATTACAACCAGCTCAATCCATTCGACAACACTAATTGATCATAATGTTCCAATTACTTGTAAATTGATTATATCTTTTTGTTTTTCATCATTTGCCAAGACACATGCATACATCCCTTAAGTTCAATAATTTTTATATTTATCTCTCTAAATTTAAGTTTAATGTATCCATCCTATATATATATATATATATATATATATATATATATATATATATATATATATATGTCGTAAAAGCCTCTAACTCAGAGCTCCAATAGAAAACGTAAGATCTCCATTTTCCAATGCAATAGAAATTTACTGCCTTGTGGTTTCATGACATTAATTCTAACACGGAGTTCTTTTTCTAAGAAGAAATATCTTCTTTTTCTTTTTCTGTGTTCTCGCCGCCTCAGCTCAATCCACTGTGCGTTCAGCTAAAGAAGAATTCACAAAGCTAAATCTAAAAAGCATAGTCGAAGAGATACGTGATGTTATCCGCAAGATCTCCATGAAACTTTTGTCGTTTATATAAGCCCGTACAAGTCGCAGACTAGCCATGCATGACCTAAGTATCAATCTCTCTCTCTCTCTCTCTCCGGTTTCACTGGTAGTTTACGGCGAAGGAAAAATGGCGCCACGCCCACCTTCTTCCTTTTACTGCCGATTGAGACACCGGTCGACGTCCACCCACATCGCGGTCTCCGGGAAGCGAGAACCTGACGACTAAATCCATGCCCGCTTGGTTGCCTGGAAAGGTCGCGCGGGACCCATGCATTTGGACCAGTAAGGGGGCCGGTAGAAATTAGGTACTCACGCGGGCCCCATGCCACCTGACTCCCTTGGGCGCTCCGCCTCTTCCATCCTCGTGGTCGCCACTCTGGTCTGTTAAAGGCTTTCGTCTATAAGTGATGGGCTTCCGCCTCCTAGCCGCTCCGCCATCCCGAACTCGAGGACTACGGCTTTGGGTTCAGGGTTGTTTTCGTTGTTGTTGTTGGTAGTGGACAACGGTTCGTGCGGCAAAGGTTCCAGTTCTGATACGGGGATGGCGGAGGGGAACGGCGTGGGGCGGCGGTCCGGGTGCGAGTACTGCGGGGGGGCGGCGGCGACCCTCTTCTGCCGCGCGGACGCAGCTCGGCTCTGCGTCGCCTGCGACCGCCACGTGCACGCGGCGAACGCGCTGTCCGGGAAGCACGTGCGGTCCCCGATCTGCGACGACTGCGGGTCCCAGCCCGCCGCCGCCCGCTGCGTCGTCGACGGCCGCGCCCTCTGCGCCGACTGCGACTGGGACTCCCACGGCGGCGGCGGCCACCATGACCACCCGAGGGTTCCCATCGAAGGCTTCTCCGGTTGCCCCACTGCCCTCGAGCTCGCCGCTTCTTGGGGCTTCGATCTCTCTTCAAAGGAGGCGAGCCCTCCTCCCCCTTCTCTAAACCCGACGGCGGACCAGTTGCTGTCGAATTGGTCGTCCCTGGACCCAATCTTGTCCGTCGATCCGTTGTTCCAGGACATCTACGTGCCCTGCGCCCCCAAGATGCCTGGCGCGGTCAAGCGGCAGAAGAACCACCAAAACCTGAAGCCCCTGTTCCACCAGCTGGTGGAGCTCGCCAAGACGGAGGTGGCGGCCTCGGCGGCATGCGATCTCAGCCCGAGCACGCCGCATCGGACTGCCAGAGGCCACGAGGAGCTCCAGGAATCACAGCCGATGCCGTACACCGCCCTGCTCATGTCGGCACCGACCGAGCTTCAGGGAAGCGATCGGCTTGTTGAGGAGGAGGTGGAGGAGGAGGTGGAGGAGGAGGATATCCTGTGGGACTGCAGACTTCCGCATCATCCCGCGCAGGTTTAGTACTCTGTGCATCTCTGTTCACTTTGCAGTATCTTCCATGTCCTCGTGATATATTTAAGATCCTTTTAGCTGAAATTAGAACAATTGATCTCCAAAAGTCAAAGAAAACGTCCTATAAAAAAGACAACTTTTCTAATTTCTGAGATAACATTATGGAAATGGTGATAGGCTGATTCCAGGAAAGTTGCTGACCACAAATAGAGTTGTAGGCAAGCTATATATCAAGTCTCAAAGGTCAACCCCTTGAATTTGTGTCAAAATTTCTTGATCTAAATTAAACAACAACACTGTTCAAGGTCGTGGCTCAGATCGGAGTAATTGGAGGCGCGAAAGATCTGGTAATATTGTTGGAGTTAGGAGCCACATCCATGCCTAACATTAATCTTGCACCCAATTCTTTTTGCTTAAGGAAATATACATTTTGAAGAGTTTTATAGTTTGTCTTTTTGTTCTTTCCATTTCTTTTTATCTGTTCTTTGCCCGATGATATCCTCCTTCTTTTCGGTTCCCTGTGATGTTCCACTTTGTTAAGGAAAAAATATTTCAGACTCCTTACCATATACGTAAAGTATCATTGTGTTTGTTTGATGAGGTATTTTGTTGTATTGTATTGCTTAAAGTGTCCCTGAAAGAACCTGATTGGCATCCAGATACAATGTGGGTATGTGAGATCTATTTTACTGTAGAAGGCAGAGGTGGTTCGAAAAGTTATCTAGTGGGGGCAATATAAGAGGGACAGGTTAGTGGAGAAAACCCGTATTATTTGTTTTTTGTCGGATGGTGCCTCTCATAATTGTTCTTTATTGGATGATGTCCCTAAAACTGGCACAGTCCAAGTCAAATTGGTCGAATTTTCTATATTCGACCATGGGAATGTGGTTATCTTGCTACTCAAATTAGTCATCTGATGGGCTAGTAAACTTATTTCTTTCTTTCTGCTTTCTTTACTAGTTTATCCTTATCAATGCTTACAACACATAATGTCGGTTGCGGTTTTATGGCTACTCTCTTATAAAGTCTGTTTGCTGATGTCCAGATATGGGATTTTAACCTTGGAAGATTGGGAGACCAGAAGGATTCTTTTGATCATGAAATTGCATATGGTACAAACAATGAGGCATTTATGATCAAGAACTTCAATGACCTTCACAAGGAAAATTCATTGGAGACCACAAAAGTATTGGAAGATATAGGTGATGCAAGATGTCCTTCCTCGAATGATGATATATTGTCAACAAATGTTCGCCACAGGCAGTCACAAACTGTGAGCCATCTCGCTGTTTATTTCTTGATACAATATCTTACACAAGGTAATACAATATAATAGTGCCACTACCTGGTCAGGTAATTCTGAGTTTATTTCCATCATTATCAGGTTAGCAATTGTGACAAATGTTTCAAGAGTTCACAGAATCTATCGAGTAATATCTAACATCTTAAAGATAAAGCTTCTCCTTTTCTTATTTCCCTTGAATGCTAGGAGTGAGATAAGGTATGATATAGTGTTTTAATTGATTGTATGTCATATAGTTCTTACCCTTGGTTTTTCTTTTTACTGCAGCTGAGGACCGTAAGCACCGCCACCAAAAGGAAGCACGGTTCAAGCTGTTCACCAGTTGAAGGACCAACAGCCTCTGGAAACAACACATTGACCAGGATTAGACCATTTGTTGCTTTATCACATGAGCATGGATCTGTTGGAGCCAAACAAATTTCATTCAGAGAAAAAGGAGAACCGCTAGTCGGAAATGAAACGGTCCAAGAAACAAAGAGACTTGACAGCGAGATGGTAGCCAAAAACAGAGGCAACGCCATGTTGCGCTATAGGGAGAAAAGAAAAACACGCAGGCATGGATCTATTCTTCTGTATTTTACTTATATGAGACTGTAATCGTCGTCCAAGAGTTCTCTTGATGTTCTTAGTTATGAATTCTATGCAGGTACGATAAGCACATTCGTTACGAGTCTAGGAAGGTGAGGGCTGACACGAGGAAGCGTGTAAAAGGTCGCTTCGTCAAGTCCACCGAGGCATTAGATGTTGTAAACAATGGCTGAATGGGCATGTACTAATAAACTAGGTGTAAATACCTTCTTGGTCATGTTCTAAGAGGAATTTTAGAAATGAGTGATGATATGCTGTGTCATCTGCTAATCAAATCTATGTTTCTTTTGATGGAGCTCCCATCCCCATTGATTCTTAATTCTCTGATGGATTGTTTAAAGATTGAGTCCATCTGATTGGTATGAAATCTGAGTTCAATTAACCCAAGAGTGTTCTGCCATGATCCTGTGTTCTTAGTCCATGTTAACTTTAATCTGCCCACCATGGGATGCATCATGAATGGTTCTACTTTGACATGCTAGTCTTCTGTGCTTTTCCACACAACAAAAATGATATATATATATATATATACTGAAAATTCATGGATAATTATAAGTATTTTTTTTATTAAAAAAAATTAAAACACATATCTTAAAATTTTGTGTGATCATATTTGATTAACTCAACTTAAAATTTTAATTTACTTTTTCTCCCTCTGAGTTGACAAAAAGGAGTTATTTGCAATGAAAAGGTATATTTGATTATTTTACATAAATAAATAAATAATTAATACTATGCATAAATAAATAATTAAAAATCGGAAACCCTTAAAATCTTTGCACTCTCCTATTAGAAGAAAAAAATAATTAAGACGAAATTACATACATATACTTCTTAAATTAATAATTTTTTTATTTTTCCATCTAATTTTGAGTTTAGCATATCTTGATTTCATTTGGTCGATATAATGATAAATGCATTAAGAATATTATATATATAATATAAATAATTGCAAATATCCATAATTAATAGTGATTAACCTGAATTTGATACTATAAAGATGTTGTAGGGGCAAATGCGTCATTATACTAAAGAATATATACATATGCAAAAACCCCAATAATAATAACAAACAAAACCCGAACCCTCTCGCCACACCTTTGCCTGAGAAGGGCAAAACCCTAACCCCCACCTCCGGTGCCGAATCGACCATGCATGCGGCAATTCATGGTTCTTGATCGGCTCCTCCATAACCGGAACTAGAGTTTGCAGGTCTGCTTGCCGATGGACTCTCTGGTTCGGGGGTTTTGCTTCCCTTTTACTTTTTGACGAAATTGTTTGGTCTCTTGCCTGCCCTTTTCTTCAGTTTCTTGTTGTATTTTCGATTCGTTCATCAAGGGGAACGGGTTTTGTTGGCCGCGGATGGTGTTTCTTCTGAGAATCACCAATTTTGGCATCTTCAGTGGTCTTGGGCTGAGGGTTACTCTCAAACCATGGTGGCTTGCGATTGTTGTAGGATGCGAAGAAGTTGTGCTGATAGATGGCAGTGAAGTAGATGGTGTGTATTAATTGGGAAAAAAGATGGTTATGGATGATGGGAAAAAAGAAGTTGGGTTCTTGGATGGCTTTGCAGATGGCCATCCATTACCACTTGATGATGAGAATTGCAATCATTCAGGGTTTTTGGCTACTGATAACCGTATTTATTTATTTTCGTTGTGCATACTGCACCATTTGGTTACATTTTGTTGTAATACTGCTTATAGCAACTTGAGAAATTTCAGACGATCATTCTTTCCTTGGAAGTCAAGATTTTTTCCCCAAACGTTAGTCAAATATCCACCTGGGTTTTTCTGTTACTGCTTTTCAATCTGAAGGTCTATGTTAGCCTACATGGAGCTCTTGAAGCTAATCTTGCGGTAGAATCTGGGAGGAGTTTTCTGAGTGAGATCCTAGATGACATGGATCCTTCCATCTGAATTCTCAATGAAACACCCTGATTTATGTCTAGTAAAGTTATCCTTTTTATGCTTTCTCCTACAAATATGTGTTCCGTACTAGAAAATAAAGTCAATTCTATGAATCTAATCACTATAGTGCCTAGTTAAATTTTAGGTGTAATTAGTTATTGCCGTATGGTAAAATTGTTGTCACTTTGAACAATGTTACTGAGACATTTGAGTTTAGCCTCGACACTTCTTAGACACTTCAAAACTGGTTTATGTTGGGTTTATTCTCTCTGATAAGGTTGTTCCCGGAAGAACATTGATGCATGGCCAGGATTTGCAATTATATGTTTATGATAAATACATAATCAATTTTTTTAATTTACAGTACACCTATTGTTTCTTCTTTACATCATCATGTTACCCTGATCTTTTCAACTCATTTTGTAGGTTTTCTGGCATATCAAGTTTCTGAACTTGAGATCAATAACAATGAATGGATCATTTAATATGCAGATTTTGGTGGATAAGCTTGCCAAACTTAACAATTCACAGCACAGCATAGAAAGTATCCTTCAGTTGTTTTTTTAAGTTAATTTGTCTAATACAAGAATTAATAGTTTGCACTTAATGATAATATTCATATCTATAATGCCTGGAAGTGTTTCTTGTTTATATACAGTGATGGTTGCCATTGTGCTGTTGTGCATCTATTAGTCCTGCAAGTTTCTCATGGGGCCTTAATAATATAGCCGATGGAAGTTAAACTGAAAGATGCTGATTACTAAACTAGTTATGCTAGAACTTCCAAAACTCCATGGTTTCTTCACGTGCTTGTACTACATTAAGTATGAAGTAGGAAATATATGGACTGCATGGACTATGGGGTTAATTAGTGTACTATTGGAATTTTAGAAGTACTATATATATAATCAAACATGAAGCATTTAGGATAAAGGATAAATTTTATTTCTTGGGAGTTCTTTTTCTGGACCAATCTCAAATGGATTAATGGGTTACAAGTATTTTGGTCATGCAATGTTTTCAATGGAATTAATTGGATATTCTGTCTTTTTGAAATGCTGTTCAGTGTTCACTTCTATCTGTTGCATGTATCTCCCAGAATTACGTATCTTCTCCTCTGCAATGTACTTCTCAAGCCATTTTTATTTTTATTTTTTTGAGACCCAAGTCTAGCCTTAAGATCCTTTACTTTTTTGGCGAGAAGTCTTTGATCATCATTAAAGACTTCAGACTTCAAAGTTCAGACTATGTTTGTTTTTAGCATTCATGTACTAATCTTGATAGAACATACTTGACTCGGAACAAGCTTTATCATATTGGTGCATCTTCCATAGGAACAAGGCAAAACAAGTTGTGGAAACATGGGACCAGCAATTCCATTGCTCTCCAAGGGATAAGAGAGTATCTTTTCTGTATCTTGCTAATGATATTCTGCAGAACAGCCGGCGGACAGGTTCAGAGTTCATTAATGAATTCTTGAAAGTTCTTCCTGATGCTCTAACTGATGTACTTGATAATGGAGGCGATTTTGGAAGGAAAGCTGCACTAAGATTGGTAAACTAAAATGAATAAATTTTATTGTTCTTGATATATTTTCTGTCTTATACTATCATCTAAAAGCATGATGCCGTGATATCATATGATATAATTTTTTATGTTCTTTTTAGTGCCTGGATTGCAAGTGAATGCCTGTATGCTTATATTTAATAATTGAATATGCATGGTCTTCTATGATTTTACTTTACATGTTTGAAGATGCACTACCAGTTTAAACTGCATATTATTAGAATGTTAGACTTGTTGTAGCTATAATTTGGATATTCTAGGCAGTTACTTACCATGAACATTTACATGCATGCCAATTCTTTGCTTGTTCTTGCATGCCCATGTAGAAGGTACATTTTATTTACAGAGGGCTTGAAGTACAGATGTTCTTTAATTCTTTCTTGTCCTAGCATGATTGTTAAATTTCTACTGGTGTGGGACTTAAACATTGTCAATGTTATTTAAATGAAATTATTGACAACACAAGAAATTATGATGTCATAGTTATTTGGGGTTGACTACATGAATCTTTTCCCATATTGATCTCTATCTTGGTCTATATCACTAGTCAAACTAAGAGGTCATCGACTCTTGTTGTTTCTAATAAGTTTCTTACGTCTCCCTATATTTTTCCTTCTAGCATCAATCCCAGTAGACTGGCCTTGTGTAACCAAAAAAATCTTCTTTAGCCATGATCGTGTCATTTTAAGCAATGATCTCATTGTATCTTCTATCAGTTACACTTATTTGTTCATAGATATAAACATTTCTTATTCTATTGCTGTTTTCTAAAGACTGCACATATCCATCTCAGCATTATTTCATCTCATCAGTTCACTTTTATGCTCTGTATTAATGAATAATCCATACAGGTTGACATATGGGAAGAACGTAAGGTTTTTGGTTCTCGTGGACAATTTCTTAAGGAAGAGATATTGGGAAGAAAGCTTGACAATGGAAATAAATATGGAAACTCCAGTAACTGCAAATTGGTAAGAAACTTTTATTGTAACTAAAACTGTATACACATACCTTGCTGGTTACAAATTTGTTTATGACATCATGTAAGATGTTGACGTTTCATGTTTTAAAACATTTTTCATGTTGGATATTACAGAAGCATTGTAGTGGTGAACTTCTTCAGAAGATCATCTTAAGCTATGATCATGTTCATGATGAAGAAGCTCTATTTAGAAAATGTGAAGGTTCTATCAGCATTGTTGACAAACTCGAAAAGGAATTCTGTAGTGATGATAAATTAGGTACATGTTACGTTCTTTCTTATCTACTTCAAAATGTTTAAGTTACATTATGTGTGCACTTTTTATATCATTATGCTTGTATCAGTTGCAGCAGAGTAAATAAATCTGTATGTGATTGAAGGATCAAAGTATTACGACAGTTTGATAAAGAACATGCTGATTTATTTATTACTCTTTTTTCCTTCTTTTTTGTTCTCATTTTTTATTTCTTTAATGGAGTAGGATTCCTTTTTTTCCTCTGTTAAGATCATCTTAAAATAATCAATTGTGATGAATTTTTGACAATTTCACCAGCAATCAACTGCTTGCTTTATCTGTCACCAACAATAATTCTTGTCTTGTTGTTCTGGAGGCCATGTCAAGATGGTGCTTTCTTTACCAAAAATCAAGTCTTTTGTCATATTGAGCTTCCTATTATGTGTGGTTCACTGTATCTGAAAATTTATTTCTCATGAATGACGGATCAATTTCTTTTAAGCACCATTGTCCTTTTTTTTTTTTACATTTTACAAAAGAATGATAGATATTGTGGAGCATAAACACTTAAAATACATATCGTTTATGTGTTTAACATGGAGGATATCTGTTCAATATTTATTCTAACTTGTGATATATGCCAGAGCATGATGACATATACAGGACATATATATCGTTATAATTAACTTTTTGACATATGGTATTTACTGTGCATGACATCTACCAAGACTGATGGATGTGTCACATACGAGGGATGCATATGTAAATTGGAGTTTTTACAGAACATGAAGTTAGTCCCCATAATGTTCCATTAACGGTTTTTTTAAATAGTTAGGTGACTGGGGTCTTGCTTCTTCTGATCATAGATTATCTAAATTAGACAAGTTTAATTTAAATATATAATATATAGTAAAATTATATTTTTTATTATGCTTGCATTGTTTTGTGCTATGTATTTAGTATTTGCTATATCAGCATCTCAAGTTGTCTCTATCTTGTGCCCATGTCCATGCCACATCAATAGATTGTTTGCAGTCTTCTGCCTCCTGTTGCTTCCATATATTTGGTTTTGTTGTCATTGTACTGTGCTGCTGAATAATGTCAAATATTGTTCCAGGGCATGCCTAATATCTATAGATAATTTTTGTATTCAACTTCAATTTTTTGCTTCCTACATGGAGCTTTTGAGCAATTCTGGATAATGGATAGGGAGTAAAAATGAATCTGAAGTTACACGGGAGTTGCAGAAGCAGCACGGCATACTAGGAGAGTGCATAGAGCAATTAAAAGCAGCTGAGTTATCCAGAGCAACATTGGTTACGAATTTAAGAGAGGCACTTCATGAACAGGTGAGGTGGATCACTGGCATATGTCATTGTACTTCTGACCTATGACAGCTTTCAATTTATTGAAGTTTCTCCATTTAGATACGAATTTCTAATTCAATTTCATTCTGTTTTCGACTGGTTATCAGGAAACTAAAATTGAACAAGTTCGCCATGAACTTCAGGTACTCTTCCTGCACTTTGTCAGTATTGTTTCATGTAAGAATGGCATACCATTAATGCTCTGTTAATGTACTGTTCGTTAATCAATTGAAAAGCATTAATTCGGTGAATGTAGCTTAGTCCAGGTTTTTGAGATGATGAATCAGTTGCTTGTGAACACATGATAGCTAGAAAAATGACAGATAAATTTAGCCTTACACATACATATTTAGTCAAATGGTGCTTGCTGGTCTTACTTGGTAAACGTGATTTTTAAGTTTAATCCATATGACTGCCATATCTGATAGTTCTTTAAATTTTGATAAATCAAGCTAGATACAGTGGAAGCTTTATGCAATACTTGTTTGTCTCCTCCTCGAATGCAAATCCTGTGTTTTCCTTAACATGTTTTTTATGCAATATCTTGGGTCCAGACTTCTGTAGATGAGTTGCCATTTTTTAAGATCCATGATTAGCGGAGTTATATATGAAGGATTGAAAAATCGGAGAGGTTCATTTCAGACCATGAAATTAGTTGTATTAACAAGCAGAGTTGATGCAGGTTATATCCTGTGTCTCGTTGGTAAGAGCCGTAAGATGGAAGCCATATGGAAAATCTTAGTCTTAGACAGATTAATACATAACTATGGAAAAATGAGTTTCTTGTAAGATTAATATAATTGCTGTTGGTGAATAAAGGGGTGAGTCCACCCTAAATGTTGGTTATCAGTTGAACTGGTATGGTAGCAGTATGTTGGATGGTGAATCAACATGTACCGTTCAGCATTACTGAAAGAAATAAATACTGAGCTTCACCAAATGCACTGGTAAATACCTGGTTGTGCGAGCCATTCGTGCTCATATTTAAAACCATGATTACAAATGACTAAAAGTTAATTTTTAATTTAAAAATATAAATATGACAATTGTGATGTCTTCTTTATGTTATCTTCTTTTTCCTCCAGATCAATAGTTTTTTTAACTTGATGTCCTCAACTTGAGCACTCTGTGTTCATTAGGCTCAACTACATTTGGAAATCATGGCAATGGTAGTCTGTTAAATCTTTCGCTAATTGTAAAAGCCATGTAGAATAAGTGGAATTCTGTGCTGGAGATCAACTCTAAACACCTTTTCTACTGATTCCATATAGAAGCATGTTCTTGTTGAAAAGATAAGTTTTCTGCAACTTTTATATTATTATTATTATTTTTTTGTTTCTTTAGATTCTCAATGAATCAGGTAGGGGCTGCTAGTGCTAGTCCATAGACCAATTCATAAAGCCTCATTAATTGCGCGCTTCAAACAGGCGCCGCCTGGGCGCTCGCCCGAGCCCAGGCGCTGGGCGCTTCGGGCGAGCGCCTGGGTTAACCAAGGCGACCGAACCAGGATTTTAGGTCTGGTTTGGTCCTGGTTCGGTCTATGATGGTTAGTTGGTTCTATCGAACCAACTAAAACTGATATAAGTGACAAACGAACCCTAACCCTTGCCGCTGCCGATCTCGATCCCGCTGCTCGCTGCTGTCGCCGCTCGCAAACGCTGTCCCTGTCGTCGCTCGCGCCTCTCGCTGCTCGCCGCTCTTGCTCCCGTTGCCGCTGCTTGCCGCTGTCGCTGCTCGCAAACGCTGCCGCTCGCGCCTCCCGCTGCTCACCGCTGCCGCTCGCCGCTTCCTCTTTTCTCGGTCAGCAGGCTCAGCATCCCTTTACACTTCCTTTTAACAGTATACGTATACTGTATACTATTAAATGTTAATATTATTAAGTTTATTTAAAATGATTAATTTTTAATATTGTTAATAGATTAATAATATATTATTTTAATTTTAATATTATTAATTTTTATTAATTATATTATAGATTTTTTTTATATTTTTTTATTATTTTATTAATTATATTATATATTTTTATATTTTAGCACCTCGTTTCGCTCGGGCGAGCGCCTAGCGCCTCGGGCGTTTTTGGACCTTGGCGCCTTTTGACGTCTAGTGCTTTTTAAATCACTGTGTGATACTGGTTTTGATGACTAGTCAGACTAGTATGATGTTTTAGCATACCAAATAATACACTGAGTTGTACTTCTCAGTATCATCATGAAAAAGAAAAACTAAATATAAACCAGTACTGACCTGTGTGATCTTGTGCTGGTCCTTTGGTTAGACCAGTGTATACTAATTGATGTGGAACAGTCCATCTGGTCTCTGAATTTGGAATCTTGTTTTTGTGTAGTGCAATGTGCTAAAGTAGTTCTTTAATTTGCATGATGATAAGTAACAAAAAGGAATATGTGGATTTATTAAATATACTGTTGTGCTTGATTTATAGCCATTCTGCATGTCATTGTATCTTATTCTTGTAGTATAGTTAGCCTTTTTTTGGTAACGGACTTCCCCATGCACCTAGGCCTTCCACTTTAGCCTTTCAAAGGGTGACTGTATGATCGTAGGCATTTAGACAACTTTGGTTGCATCAGACCTAGAAGGAAAATCATCCGTTCTCCCTTCCAACAAGTTATATGTGAAAGTTACACCAGTAGTCTCTTTGCTTTTCGTATGAAAATTGTCAGGCTTTCACAGAAGATTTATTGCACCAAAATGCATAAATAGGCTGATTAAGAAATTATTAGTGACATAACACTAATTCTTCATTTTCAATGGTTTTTAGAATGATTGAAAACTTATCCTCTATTAAGATTCCTAAAAAATATCTCTAAAATAAAGGAATGCAAGCTGTTTATCCACTTTGCATTTATCGGGATATGAAGTTCAAATATTAAGTGACATGTGAATCAATTTTATTGGAAGCCTTGCATCATGAATTTAGCTGTAGGGATTTGCATCATTGTCCTTCTTAGGTCTCACTGTGAAATGCAAGCTAACTAAAAGTTCTGAAGCAACACGAGGCAGGATCCCTCCTGATTGCTAAGTAAAATGTCCCATGAGTCAAATATCCATTAATGTTTGAGTGGAAAAAATCTGGTGTGACCCTGAGAGTGCATTAATATCTTCTATAACCCCTCCAGAAGTGTGAATATCTTATATATCCCTATTGACTCTGTCCTGATTATGCCCCTAAGAGTTGGCCATATGAATTGGTATTTTACTTATGGGGATTTAGATTATCTAATCATAGTTGCCTATTTTTAATTTGGGTTTAGGCAAATGGGTATTAAATAGTTCTTAAGTACACAAAAGGGAGGTCTCTAAGATTTGCACGAGCATATATATATATATATATATCCTATTTTCCATTTTGGAGGTATATATAGGATATTAGGGTACTTTGCAAAGGTACAATAGAGATGTAATCGTAATCTGCACTTGAAAGAGGGGGAATATGTACTACATGTGCAAGCTTAGATATAGTTGTCAGTCTGTTACATAATTGCCTTCTTTAAGAATCATTACTGTCGAAGAATAGGTGTTCATTCTAGTTCTCATTATCTATACTTGATGTATCTGTTATGTTTTTTGCACTACGTAGTTAGCTAATTCTCATTACCTCTCTTCATTTTCTTTTGGGAAAATAATTGTTGTCATTCATCTTTCACATGTTAGTAAATGTATTTTAGTAAGCCAAATTTGATTCTGCATCATAGGTGAGAAATAAAAAAGTAACTTAAAAGGACAACTTAAGTTCATATGCTGACCTAAATGTTCATGAAAAGCTTTTCCTGTGATTATGTTTTATCATCGAACTCTTACCTACCTAGTAGGTCATCCAAATTAATTCTTGATGTCATAACTAATCATCTGTATTCCAGGCTGCCAAATCACAATACGAGCTAGCAAGTAGCTTATCTGCACAGCTCCATGATGCTCAACCCCCAGCCGAGCAGAGGCAAATGGAGTCATCGTTGGCGTTCTCTGATACCTCTTCTGGTTTTATCCCTGAAGCTACCACTAGCTCTGCAGATACAGCACAAATAACTCCGCCCATGGGCACCCAGGAAGAACCTCTCATAACTGACAGTAATTCTTCTCATACTGAAGCGGAGCAGCGGAAAATAGCAGCTGCTGCAATGGCGGCAAAACTCACATCATCCGCGTCCTCTGCCCAAATGCTAAGCTTTGTTCTCTCCTCTCTGGCCTCAGAGAGCATGATTGGTCAGCTTGATAGAGAAGATTACGCACCTGATAGTAAGAGGCTTAAGACACCAAACAGTGCGCCTTCTCATGTGCCGTCGCCGCCGGATTCTCTCCTTCAGCTGCCGATGCCATCTTTTCCACATCCTGAATCACTACAGCCAGCATCTGCAGTGACTCATTCAAGCCCGAGCTTGGAGCCGTCGCCCCTGCTGCCACAGCCATCAACTTCATTGCCACCTACACAACCACCACCAACTGCCACTGCCACCACCCAATTCATGCAGGCTGCTGCTGGACCTATGTCTCGCGTCCCATACAATTATGGCTCAGCTCCACCACCTCTCCCAAGCTATCCAATGTTCGGCATGCATTCAAATCCAAGTCCTCGGACTGCATACTACAGCTTTCAGGGACTGGAGGCTGGCAATCGTCTTGTACAGCCACCGTTTCCGATGGTGCCGCCTCCATTGGCACGACAATAACAGATTTGTTGGTGAAAGCATGTACTTGATTAACACATGCATAGAAAGAGAGAGAGAGAGAGAGAGAGAGAGAGAGAGAGAGAGTTTAGATTACCATGTCATATACACACCTGAAATGCTTCTATACGGTTGGTTGTAAACATGTACATTTGGCCATGATGTTGCATACAGCACAATAGTCGTAGAACGGCTGTTCTATGACTATTCGTAGAAATTGCATACAGCACAATGATGTTGTAAAAGTTTGCTTCGTTCAACACTGATTTTAGAAATTGAATGATAAAAAAAGTAGAACGGCTGTTCGTAGAAATCTCGTCGATTGCTGCAGTTCTGGTTTAAGTCGTGTGTCTGGCATTTTTTCTACTCAAATTGGTTGACCTCGAGTTGAGGGTCAACCACACAGCAGAGTGTGAGCGTGAGTGTGGTGTGGCTGGTAACACGGTTGAATTCATTCTGGATCAGAAGTTCCTCTCAATCAACCATCGATTTACTTTTACCAATTTTTTAAAATTAATTTTCTTTTTCATTATATAAATGGCATACATGATGCTATTCAACTCGAGATGGAGCACCATTCAAATATATCCTTTGTTTTTCCCTTTCAACGATGGTCGACATGCACGAATAAAACCTTTGGTCATATTTTTGTGTAATTATAGCCGGTTCACAAGGAGGCAACAGACAGCATAAGGTCCTCATGAAGCGACTGACGGTCACATCACGCCAAACCCCCTCAGACAAAATTGGATAATCCATCTCGATCAAAAAGTTCAGACAAATCTTACTTGGAAAATACGTGGTCGGATCAGTTTCAACACATTCTAACACTGACAGTAATTAGTGACAGGTTAAACAACAAAGCTGATTATTACACATTGTAGTCAGAGGAGTCTCCAAAAAGCTAAAGGAAATATTCCACAAAAGAAACAAAGGCTATCGTACAATGATAGTAGAACAACATCACACATCTACCACAGACAGCAGATGAGAAGGCATTTCTATGAAATGGTTAGATCTCTACCCATGTCAGTGCTAAGCCAAACAAGCACAAGTAATGTGCAAATTTGTCCACCCATCTGACCAATGCTACTTATCACCGTCTCCGTCAGAATCTTCCTTTGTGTCCTCCTCCTCCTTGGCATCCTCCGCACCGCCTTCGTCCTCCTCACCATCTTCATCGTCGTCATCAGACATACTGTTAATGACATCTTCGATTATGCGCTTCACCTCTGCTTTTCTGTCCATCAGATCCATCTTGAAGTGAGCTCCTGTACACGGTCAGATTTTAGCGTCAACTATGTCATTCTAGCTTGTAATGCAGAATAAAAAAGATCTACCACAAATAAGCACTAATTCCATCAGATATCGTAATGTATCTATATTATTTATATGTTCATCTTATAGTTAGTTTTATCGTACCTAGCTGTCTCAAAATATCAGCCAAAGTTGCCTGCACCCCACACAGAATTCGACAGCTTAGTAATATCAAGTGAAAAAGGAAGGGGAGCATCGAGGATCAAGTCTAAAAAGCTCCTCACAGTATTGAAATCCACTTCTTTCAATATATCACTGACAACAGCATGCAACTCCTCCTTGCTGGGTCCACTCTTAGCTGCCTTACTTGCCTTGACTTTTCCTAGTTTCATGACGAGAAAAGGTACTCATAATAGGTAAAGAATGCAGCTATTGGGCAAATAATTAGCAACATTTGAGTCAAAATAGGCATCTCAATAATATTAGTCAGCATCAGACAAATGAAATCGAAAATTATTCTTCCATCAATGTGCTATTATCCATATTAAAACATCACCATTCACCAGCACACCTTTCTTACAATAAGCTCAAGCCAACCACAATTACTTCACGCACACTACATCATAATAGACAACAAATCATATTTTGGTCTCTGAAAAAGATGAATGGCAATTGGAAATCAGCAGCAAATACGTCTATTAAATTGAATTAAACAAAAAATGGCAGTCAAATCTGCGGAAAAAACAACATACCCCAATATCTGAAACTGACATCATTAGGATTGAGAAAAAATGGATTAAGATCACTTTGAAAGAAGCACTTTAAAGAAAATATGTATTCTTCTTTAGAGTAAGATCACTTCGAAAGAATTACAGGTAAAAAGATAGAAAAAAAACACTTTAATACTTGTCATGAAATATCTGAAAAAATAACATGTATGAAGTAGTCTTTGTGTTGCTTATGAGCAAACTGAGAATTTGTGAACAATTCTTGAAAGGTTGCATGCTATCTTTGTTTAGCCAGAATACAAAAATTAAGGCATACAATAACCAACTATCTAGTATTTATATGTGTATATAACGAAAAGCTACCTTGTTTTTCGTTTGAATCTGACTTATAAGATTTTTTCCTGCTAGTGTTTTCCTTGTTGTCTGGAAGTTTTTCGCTTGCTCGGCCTTTCCTTCTGCCCTTCTGTTTGCTTTTGGAGATCGAAGGATGCCCAGAGTCACTGTCATCCACAGGAACGCTTTTTCTTGGAGAAGAAGTTGATGCGGTTTTAGAAACCTTCGCAGAATCCTTTCTTACAGTGGTTTTATCTTTTGTTGAGGCATTGGAGCTCTGCTCGTTGATCTCCTAGTAAGAACCCATTTTGTTTTCATAGGGTGAACTTGATTCATCTTCACCAGACATACTTAAAGCAGGTTTGAAGAACTTTAATTGGAAGGGGTGAATTTAACAGGAGAAACCTTGTTTTTTGCCTTGGATGGCTCAGAAGTCTTCTTCGTGTGCTTAGCAGCAGATCTTTTATTAGTTGCAGCAGACTCCTCTTGCTCTCCGTCCTCAGCTTCTTCCTCACTGTTATCATGGCCATTCTCTTCCTGTGAATTCCCATCATCTTCATCATCATCATCATCATCATTTAGTGCTTCCTTTGTGTCGACAGAGGCACCCTCATCATTATCTTCATTCTCGTCTTCAGCTGACTGCTTGTGACCCTTTCTTTGTTTCTGAACATCAAAAGGTGCTATGTGGAGTTAAATAGTTATGCGGAGAGTCGAGTTATGACAAGAAAAAGTTCTAGCCAGAATGATCAATAAAATCTGCATGAGAATATTGATATCACATAGTCAAAACTTAAGATTATTCATGAAGAAATTGATCAAAAATTTTAAATTAAGCAGAGTTAACATCCAATGGTCTGTTTTTCTTCCCCATACAATCTTTCCAGGGATCAAACAAAGATGCCAAACGAGCTGCATTTATTCATTATTGAAGCTTTTGTCTATTGTCGTAATCTCATTCCAATTACAAGATGGCATTATAGTCATACAATATCAAGAACCACAATTCCCAATATCCGAGACTTCTCTGTTTGAGTTTAACAATAGTTTGATGGTTGACAGTAGAACTGAAATGCATGACTAAAACTTTAAATGAGTCCAGAGAAACATGTTATTTTCTTGAGAAATGACGCATTTCAATATTATAAAAAAAGATCAAGCAATACTGGTGTTTGATAAGCATTAAAAGGGATGTCACTTGGCAACAATTCAGGATTGTTCTAAATGCTTAAAGACAAAGAAGGATACTAGTAGACTTGTTCTTAGCATTCAAGAACCAATTGTTCCTTTAACATGTTCAATATTCTGCACAAATAAGAAATTAGTAATACTGAAAAACAAACCTTACTGCCTCTATCTGAAGATCCTTCTCCAGATGTTGCATCAGTGCTTCCCTTCGTCCTCCTCCCTCTCTTCCCTTTCTAAAAGTAAAGTGACAGTAAGATGTTTTGCAGCACTCTATATTGATAGCTAAAAGCAAAAAAGAAAGACATTTCAGCTAAGCTCAAAACTTTCACCTTTTCTGTGAGTACTACATCTCTTGTAACACAAGGAGACTCCAAAAATTCTACTAAATTTAGTATGACTTCTTCCTGTAAAAAAAAAAACTTCAGATAAACTCTCTAAGATAGATGAATGTATGTGATTATTGACTCTAGGAAAAACTATTTCTATTAATTTACCTTTTTGGTAGAGGGCTTGACAACATGAATATCAAGTAGATCGCAGAAATCAAGCAACCTTTCCTTATTATACTTATCAAGCTTTTCTTTAATTCTTGCCCTCTGTTTTTCCTGAACAAAACAATGCACTAGTCACAAATAAAGGTCCTAACAATAAAACTTAGCATGTCCCTAAAGTGTTCCACTAGTGGCATCCTTGTAAATATACTCCAGACCAAAGTTCATTGTACCTTGACATACCACCTAGTATAGGCGATACATACCGATTCGATAAGAGATCGGTATGGGCGGTACATATCAATCTATCGGTATACCCCACTATACCATGTGTTGGTACGTTAGTATGTACCATACTAACGACTAGCACACCGATACAGACTCTGATAAGACAAACCATGCTTCAGATGAATATCAAAGCACTCTAATCAGTAATCACAATATTTACACAAAGCATAGTTCTCCCATCTGAACTAAGCAATTTAAACACATAGTCGAAGTTCATCCATAACTTTCAAACATCAGGCAAAGGTAGAAACAAGAGTATTTGTTCAAAAAAGCAATTTTATGATGGTAATAACCATATAATATGCATACTAGTGCTCAAAAGTTACTGATAGCAGTACATGAAAGAGAAACAAGAAATTGTCAATGTGAAAAACGATAAATATGAACCAATTGATTCAAGTAAACAACTAGTGATCATAATTGTTTTCCTCCACTGAGGAAAGATTCTTTGCTTCAAATTCTCACCACATGATATAGCAAAAAACATTAGTGTTTTTTCTTGGGATGTAAGTCATCTAAGTTGAAAATTTTTTATCATAAGTGTACTTAGGATGTTCCAAGATGGCTTGCTTTGTCAGAAGCGAGAAATTTTGATCATACATGCATAGGTAAATAGGGAACTCAGATTTGTAATACTGGATTCCTTTAACTCAAGTAGAATAAATGGAAGAGCAAATCATCAAGTTTAGAGTAGCAACAGATCTATCAATAGATTGTATATTTGTCATAAATCTCCTTTGAAATGGAATCCATAGAATTTGACCTTTCTTTGTCAATACTTATAGCTTCTTCTAAATAAAGTTCAATTTGGTCTCTACAATCATCTACCAAGATCCATCTAAATGCACAACTCTATTCCCTTCACACAGTGGAAAAGCAGCAGAAAAGCTCATCACACTGTCTGCAACATCAAGCCTTATACCTTGAAAGAAAAAAAACAAAAAAAAAGTGATCAAAACACAACCTTTTGTTTTGTGGGAATCCATGTTAATAGAAATTGTGATGGGTAAGTATAGGTATCCAACTAATTTTATCATAATTTGCAAGATCAGTATTAAGAATGGGAACAACTAGAGACAATACATGCTTTGGTTTCTTTGTTCTTGGTTCAGTTTCACTCTGCACATCAGAAACCCAAAGGATTTGGTTCTGTTCATTATTTCAATGATAATCAAACAAGCCCAAACCAAATACAACCTCAATAACATCACCAAATGTTGGCAAACTAGATGTTATCAAAGAACATATTATCAACATGGTAAATATTGAAAGATTAACAGTAAGCAGAACAAGATACCTCATTCTCGCTCCAAACAAATCCAGAGAACTGAAGAATATTTCTCCTAAGGAAACGTGCCTGAACAAGAAAGCTATTATTATAGATAAAATTAGAATTCCACATGTAAAGAAGTACTCCAGTAATAACAAGATCTTACATTTGATTTCCTTCCAAAAAGGACTGTATGAAGAGCTTGGAGGTTCTCATCAACTTTTCGCTTTGACAACTTGAAAGAAACTACAGCATTTGGCAAGATCAGTGGAAATTGAAGGAGAGTCTGCTGCTAAGGGTAACATATTAAAAGCTACACCCCTGGTAACCATATAACAATTATATCCTCATCTTATATTTTACCTAACATTCCCTCTCCTTATATTCTCATTGTGCCCTCTAAAAGTGTTTCCACCACTTTTCCTTTCAAGGTATAAGGACTTGATGCTGTAGACATAGTGTGGTGAGATTTTCTGCTGCTTTTCCACTGTAAAGGGATAGAGTTGTGCATGAATATACTATTTACATGGATCTCGGTAGATGATATGTCGAGACTAAATTGAACTTTATTTTAGAAGCCACAAGTTTACACAATGAAAGATGAAAACCTATGGATTCCATATTCCCATCATGCACTTTTGTTTGAATATGTTCATCCTCCCCTATAACATGTAATGAATTTATCAAGAGATGGCCTAACCATGTTCTTACTGCTATATAGTATATACTACCTGTTCCATCAACAGAACTCGATGACTTTAATAAGCCCATCACAATGAGTAGCTTTTCTGCTAGGCTTGTCATACTTTATGTTAACTGCACATCATCTCAACCTATAAGTATAAAGCACCACTGCTCTCTTGCTTGTCTTCTGAATTATAACTTTGACCTCTATCGTGGTTATGCATGGAATAAAGCAGTGATGATTTATATAAAATATAGGAATGAATGAAATGAATGTATAAGTTGTGGGACTATAATTATTTTTGGAATGATATGATTCTATCATTCATAAGTAAATCATGCAGAGGTGTGAAACCTTTATGACTTACTCCATGAGTCAGAATTTAGCTGAATAGTTATCTTTTTCTTCCTTTCTTTCCCTTCTATTCTCAAATAAAAATCTTCTAATCACAAACTTGACCTACATAAGTATCATTTTCTATCACACTTTATTTTAATTTGAAGAGAGGGAGAATCTATGGATTATGTGAAAGGAGACCATAAGTCCAACGTTGTCGGAACTTTAGACCTTTACAAAAATCTGGAGAATCACTATGATATAGAAAAACAAAGTTATTTGTTCCAAACTTCAACATAGAGTCGGCGACATATGAAAATGTGAAAAATTATAAGAGCTAAACCTTAAGAGAAAGAATAGCAAATCAATAACCAAAGCTCTCAACCACCAAGAAATCAGACAGTGATTCATAATAGTTTGGGCCAGAACCTCCAAACCATTGTGACAAAGAGTACCTTGTTTTTTGTTGCATAATAAATTTGAAATTATCCAAAGCTTAAACTTTTTGATGCCCCTTCAAATCTAGTCTAACATGCAAAGAATGTTAAACTTGTAAGTTAAAAGACATCTCTCTGATTTACCATTCTACCATGAGCAATGTCCTTTCCAATCCCCCATTTATTGAATAAAAAAACCTAATACTTTTAAGTTTATACCTTTCTCATCCTCTCTCTTTAAATCATTGTTTAGCATTAAAGCTCAACATAACTTATCCTAGCTCAATTTCACTCAATTTCACTTACACAGCAAAATTTACATTCATATATTTCGCATGTCAAATAGATTGGAAAAGAGTTTCTAAATCATGTGCTTCAGGTTCGCATGTAAAATAAAGTATGACATAGAAGATACTTAGTTAATCCACACACACACACACACACACACACACACACACACACACACATGTTTGAGATATCCAAATCAAATATATTGAACAAATGAAACTAAAACATACAGGAACACAACACTGTCCAAATATCCCATATAATCTAAATAAATGAGCTAAGACAAACGATAGGAATGTGTCAGAGATCAACCATTCTGATACTGTACATACAATCTGTACCATGGAAATGAGAAAATGAATAAAAAAGACAACTAGCAAGTGCTTCATGCATTTCTCACTGCAAACCAAGGCTCCTGAAGATCTAGTTCCAAAGAAAGTCACTTTTAACAAGACAAGGACTTTATCCCAAAATCATTCACCAAATTTAACAAGAAAAAACTGGAAAAAAAAAGAAGTCATGTCCAGCAATCCAATTGACAACACATTGAGAACAGCTATTTTTTATGGGAAGTCCCAAATGAAATCCATGAGCTCGTTATCAACTTTAGTCAATTCTCATATTCCAAGCAATAATTTAAAACAGTGATGCAATTTGAATAGCAACCAAGAATTTTGTGGGCTTAGCCTGGGATTTTAAAAACCGAGTGAGACCAAGGTTCCCACATGTCAATCTAAACTAATTTTTTCCTCAGACTCAAGTTGAGATATTGAGCCCCGGATCAAACCAGTCTTAGTTCTTAATGAGCTTATAATAAATATCAAGTCTACTTCAGTTACCTCCCTTACCATTCAGGATTGATTCTGTTCAAACAATATGTTCTACCCATCAATTATAGGCTAGCAATAGTTACTTTTCACAGTGTCTCTCTTCCCCTTTGTGTATTCTCTTTTAAACTCTAACAATCATTTTTGCTTTGGTTGCAAAACCATGTAGTTCGAGGAGACTAGTTGGAGGAGAGCTGAGCATAGAGCATCACCATCTATCACTCCGTGACATCCACATTTAATTAACATAATCTCAACAATGATTAATCTACAACATACAGTATCTATCTTGGTTAACCCTAGTAGTCGCCAAAACCAAAAGTTTATCTTATTCCCTTTTGTTCTTCATTATGACCTCATACTATTTATAGTAATCAAAGGTCCAAAAGCAACAGATCTGGTTGACCTTCGAGTTTCTCTACCTATATATCAAGGCCCTTGCATCACTGTTATTGTAATGAGAAATCTCCTAGCTTCCAACCATACTGAACCCAGTCAAACGTACACCAACTTAAATGCTAATGTAAGTTCACATTTTTCTTCTTGGTCCTGCTTGGGGTTTATCTTTTTAGGTTGCAGGACAGGTAGAACAAGTTTACGAGGAAAGGGTTTTGTCCAACCTGGTTGTTCCTTGGTTGTACCAGCAACCAAACAGTCCTAAAATGGATCCAGTGTAAGCAACCACAAGGTGAAACTGATATTTTCTTGTCAAGCACAAGCATAGCACCTATGATTAAATCGAAGTAAAGCAGGGTTCAAGCATAATTGAAAGGGGAAAAAATCAACCAAAATACGTACGTATTCTATATCTTACAAACATAATTATGTCCAAGGACACAATCTCATATGTTGCAATTGTGATGTATGAACGACCGCAGTGTAAGTATTTTGATGTCCAATCAATCACTTATCTTACCAAGTCATGACCGACATGGGGGCTACGAATATGTTAAGAGAGATTAGAACAACTTGATCCAAGCACGGTGCATCTAGTGCCTAACAGTCTACATAAGATTTATCAAGTGATCTTTCATGAGAAAATAATGAAAAGAAGAACAACATGCAGCTCGAGGGGGGTCAGCCAGTACCATTCGGTATGTCTTTCAGCTTATCTCCAGAACCCTGAAGTCCACAGCAAAAACACAGTTTTCTCAGAGACAAAAGATGTTAGCTTTCAGGATTCATATCCTGAATAGAAAAGAAAACGGTAGGAAGCCAGATCGAGTTCCTTCAAACAAATTACTTCACCTAACCTGCTTGAAAGACGGAGTCTTAGGCACCGGAGCCTTCGGAAGAGCCATCTCCGAGAACCTCTCGACGGTCTTCCGCTCCCTCGACGGCCTCTCCACAGGGGTGGCCTCTTCCCTCGCCACTGACCGCCTCTTCCTCTCCTTCTTGGGGGTCCCCTCCTCCCCGTCTCCGCTCTTCTCAGCCCTGGGTCTCCTCCCACGTTTCCGCTTCTCCACCACTACTTTCTCGGTCGGCCCATCACCGCCCCCTTCCGTCTGCTCCTCCTCTTCCTTGCTCTCCTCTTCTCCGGCCTCAGCCCGCACCGCCGGCAGGTTACCCCCCGCCTCCTCCTCCAGCTCCGCCTCTCCGGTCGGAGACCCGTCGCCGGCTTTCTTGGTCTCCTCCGCTGCTGCGGAGTCCATCGGAGCAGCAAACCCTAACGAAGCAGCCTAAACGAGAGAGAGAGAGAGAGAGAGAGAGAGAGAGTTCACGGTGGCCAGTGGGAAACGAGCGAGGGTTTATGGCCGACGGTGAAATATGCTGATCCGCTGTGACAGAATTCACCGAAACCCGAACTCCAACCAACCAAATCCTACCGTTCCGTGGGACCCACACAACTCGACTGTAATTGACATCGATTTCAATCTGAGCCCTGTCTGGTAACGACATCGAATGTATCCGGGGATTCGGATCTGCACACACAACTCACGAGTGGCGGATGATGGTCGACCGGATTTCAAATTTCACGCCCAAATCGAAGGCGGGCTTCCCAAATTAACACCACCAATTTCTCAATTAGGGTTAATCGATCGAAAACTCACTCTTCCTTTTTGTCCTCCCCCAAATTGGGTTTCAATGGGCTGATCGATTCTATCAACTCGATAGGTCCAGTGATTACAGTTGTAATTAAGTAGTAATCAGGTGGTTGATTCATGGAGAGTAGAAGCTTCATGATGCATCTTTGTCTTGTTACTGTGATTAATTAGGGATTAAGAATGTATAATCTCTCCAAGATTAAACTGTAATTAATGACTTCAATTCGATTCAAACTGTTGATGCTATTCTCACTGCAAGTGGCAGTGTTTCCGTGCACGGCGACACGCGCCACTTCATCGAGCCTCGTAAGCTGACAGCAAACCCATGCATGCACTCTCACGAATGCCATGGAGACCACGATGAACACTTCAATAGAAGCCCATAAGGTTTACATTGGAGTGTGCTAAGTGTAGTAGAAGTAACAGCACGAGCGTTCTCTCTCTCTCTCTCTCTCTCTCGCTCTCACACAACGAGACTTTGAGTCCTGCGGCCTCTTTCAGTGCGCCTCCTCTTCCATCTGCATCTCCAGTGGTGCGGTGGCAGATATCCATCAGTGAGATGATTTGATGGCATGAGTGGAAGGAGAAGGAGATTCGTGGAGGACCGTTACCTTCTTCGGAGAAGGATGAGATCCCATCAGCTTAACCCCATGCTTCCTGAGCTGCTCCCTCACAAACCTCTCGTAGATGAAGGATGCACCCCTGAACTGTGGAAGCACCAGCCATGCCACAAAAGCCACCTTGATTTGGTGCCACACGGGAATCCTTCGCTCGATGTAATCCCAATGAGCACAACCGCTAGAGAGAGAGAGAGAGAGAGAGAGAGAGAGAGAGAGAGAGTTACCAAGACAAGATGGGCTCAGCCACCATCTCCGTGAGAGTAAGGAAGGAGTACAAGATCCAGTACGCCAGCCACTGCTCGTCGTCCAGCTTCGAAGGGCTCTCGATCGCGCAAACGGAGGCGTATCTGCACGCCAAAAACATGAAAGACCATGGGAAGAAACAAAAGGGTTTGGACTTAGGACTCACAGTGGGTACAGAAGCATGAGCGTCGGCCTGCATGATGAACACAACAAACACCAGTTGATAACTTGAAACGAAATCCATCAACTACAGATCGAAATGAAGAAGAAGAAGAGGAGATGATGATATGTGGTGCGATGTTACCCTGCAAGGGAGTTGAGGGAGGTGAGGAAAGTCCAGAAATGACCCATCTCCTGAGACTTCTTACACTGGTAGGTTGAGTGGGCAACTTGAAGAAGACTAACGGAGGATTTATGGAAAGGCGAAGGGAAGAGGAGGGAAAGGTGGCAGCATCCGAGTAAGGGTAGGACTCTTAACGAGGATGTGGCAGCTTCTGCTTGACCTCTGCTGACGACGTCGCCAAGAATTCCTCAAAGGTGTTTTGTTTGAATGCAGCCAAATAGCGTTGCGGATGAAGTAAACTTCGACTCTTAAAAGAAGAACATGAATAGATGTTCCTCGTATACGAGGCTTAGAACAGTAGTTGGAGACTCACAGCTGCGTGGTCAACTATTCATTTTTTATTTCCACAGTTGCAAGTAGGCTGATGACTTTGTTACAATGAAAACGAGTAGCATCAAAATAGCCAAAGAAGAAAAAAAGAAAAGATTTTGGGAAGAAAACGTAAAACTTATGCTTCATTGCTACAGGCAAAAATAAATATCTTTAGGATATTAATTATAATCGTTGATTGAAAATTCATTAGATTCAGCATTCCTAACTTGAATTTAAATGTAACTAAAATTTAAATATGGTTATGTATATAAATTTCTTATTATTAACTTAAATTTAAATATTTTGAACCATGCATTCTTTTATTTTTATTTTTCCAGAAAAGAGTAAATCTATTAACCCAAAATATAATCACAGTTTATGCTCATAAGATCGGCACACCAAAAAAATGGCGGCCGAAACAAACGGTCTTACAATATAAGGAAGAACAATATCTGTGTCAGTGGTTAAATGGGGAATCAAAGGCCAGCCTTTGACAGCAAATAAGTAGGGATAGAAGTGCCTTCATCATATTATTGATGACAGACATTGCCACTGACGACTCCAGCAAGAAACAGATTGCAGAACATGGATGCATCTAGCTACAAGAAATTAGGAAAAGCTTTGCAGAAACAATTCATGACAGTGGCAATGTATGGCAAACAAGAAAGCTAGATTTCCATCCATGACAGGATTTCATGGACTGTAGATCACAACACCCACCTCAAATATTATAGTACTAGGTTGACTATTATCTACAAAACAACACAAGTTCCATAAGATTTGCTCACAGGAATCCAGAAGGGTTAATATGAGTTTTTAAGTTTGCTCGACAGAGCCATGACTACTGGCGTCAAGCCTTTCATCATTCCAAGTGAGAATTGATTGAAATGCAACCGACAAATTTTTAGAATATGAAAAAAGAGCAAACTTTTGTGCTGAATGTTCTATAAAATTTAACAATTAAGTCTTCGATTATCAACCATTTTCGAGCGATGCAATCACCGCATGATATGGCAAGCAAGAAACGAGACCACCGTCAGTAGTATAGCATCAGTAACCGATAACAAATTTCCAATGCACTTCTTTCTTGATATTTCCTTTTTGAGTAGTCACAAGCGAAGAAAGAAAAACGGAAAAAACTGTAAAATTTGTACCCAATTTAGCAAAAGATCCCAAGGAATAAACATCCAGAGGCAATCAGATCAAATTCCACTGTACCAAATCTCTAAAGCTTGCATTATCAGCTGTCTGCAGACAGTGGGTATATTCATTAAACCTCTCTTCTGTTCTAAAGTTCAGCTCAAGCTGTTAAAATAAAAGAGAAAGGTACAAATTAGCACACAGAAGTAGGTGACAATATATTTCTAGAAATTTGGCAAAATTTGCTTTAAAAAAAAATAAAAATAACAAAGCTTTGGAAAACAATCAAATTCATGATACAATGTGAACAACAACAACAACGATACAATATTCGGGGTTGGTGGACTTTTCTTGCTACTGAGCTTTATGTAAGGGACTATCCCTACTTAACTTGAGAATTTGAATATCTTTTTTTTAGTTTTTTAGTAAAATTTACTTCAGCATTCTTTTACCGTTCCCATATCATTAAATTCAAATCAACTAACCTTGTGTAACCATGCCCATCTCTAGGTTTTTTTCTTCCGTTAAACATATACACATCCTCTTGAATAAGCTCATTTTGTCCGCAGATAAACCATAATTAATTTGAATGTAAACATTAGGTCACAATACAACATTCGATGGTTTTTGATAAACCATCAGACTAAGTCAAGTCTCTAAACCATTTCTCCAGCTCATAAACAAGACGTGAGAAGATGGCACAGCTAAATAACAATTCAAGGTGCATACTAAAGAAAGAATCATGAGGCAATCTCCATGTTTTAGTCAACTAGGACTCAAGTTTTCCAACATGAGCAATTAATAACACAATCACTTGTTCATTCCTTACCCTTATCTCTAAGTTTTCCTATTAAGGACAGAAAGAATAAACCTCAATCAAGTGTTAACATATTAGCAGCATCATGTAAACTCTATTAACAAGAACAATGCACATCCCATTGTCTTGTCAAAATCATAAATCAGAAGTATGTGATAAATCTTAAGTGTTATTTATCTTCATCCAAGCATCAGAAATGTTGAAGCTCTAGCCCTACATCACAAGCACTAGAAAAAATGGTCCGTCAAAAAAATGATATTATTTCCTGTCGAAAGAAGTTTATTAGCCACACAAATCTTGATATGGGAGCAAGCACTTACACCACAAATTCACAAGTGTTTTTAATTTCTACAATTCAACTTAAAACCATTTCAAAAATTACAAGTTGAGCTATTATAAAACCATGAAAAAAAGATGACACACAAACTTTAGCCAATTATGTTTCTAGCATGAAAATTGGCAAGACTATGCCATGTTCAAATATAAATATGATTTTGGCTATTCACATGGATAGTAACAAATACTATGTTGTTTAAATAATATCATTCTTCATGACAATGTTAATGATCAATGTCAAAGCCTGGTTTTATTTCCATAATACGAGTATCGTGTTACAAAAAGTCAAAGCATAAATATAAAGAATGATGCCCACTTTTATGTTCCAGCTTCCAATCACCCTTTTGACTGTTTCAATAGATGAAAACTCTTAAAAATGAGCTAAGTTACTAGTGACGACCAGAAAAAATGTCCTAGTACAGCATAAAAGATGACAAACATAAGAAGCTAAAACTTAACAACAATATTTGGAGAATTTGCATGCTTTTAAAGGAATGATAAGACTTGAGAGAATTCCTCAAGCAAAAGTATGATACTGCACCAAGGAGATTAGATAGATCTCACTACTGAAAACACTCCAAAGCCAAAACCACATAAATTAGCTGCAACCTTCAAAATATTTTGAGCTAGCAAATACACAAGAATTATTAGTACTACATAATATCAAAATTCACAAATAAGGTATCAATTTTATGACTCAATCTGGAGAAGTTTGGTTCGACTGGCTGTGATAGTTACTCTTTAACAGATCAAGCATTTGCAAGAAGCTATGGGACAACAACCCAGCCAAAAATGTCAAGCATGCCCGCAAAGATATCCTATTTATCAAATTCTATATAAGCAGTCAACCTCTGTACGCATACTTGGTAAGTTGCATTGAACATTGAAAAAATGCAGACCAACACTGATAGAAGCTATATAAGCAAACAAATCCCTGAGCAGAGCAATCTCTGTTAATCAATCCCTCCCCTCAATCATTTGGTCTACTTCTAACCACATTTACCCAAATAATAGATACATCTACCATGATGGTTATCTAAATAATATCAATTCATGAACATAGAAATTATAAAGTGATGAAAAAAACAGATGAAAAAAGGAGCCACAATTGGCTGTAGACAAAATTCAAATAATATTTAGGATCAAAATCATAAAAACTACATGTATTGGAGTAAGAAGCCTTCGAATCAACGCTTAAGAACTTCCATGGCAACATTTTATCTACATCGATTACCTTCTCCTCACCAGAATTTTTGAGGGATATAAAACATAAACACATTTAAAAAAACTATTTGTTGCATTATGAGCTCATTATCTTAGCTCAAAATTTAAAATTTTGCTCTTTATTGTGATATAAAGATTCCATTATCAACAATCTTGGAAATAAAATCCTCAAGCCTAAAGAAGACCTAGTTTGCACTGGCAAACTACCTGCCAAGTGAATAACCAAATGGAAACTTATGGCTGCTAGAAAGAAAAATAACACAGCAGGTCACCTGATTATTGTTCATTCACAAGAGAGTCATACAAATTATCCACAATCTCATTTGCGTAAAAAATGACATCCAAAAGTAATATATTTGGAAACAACCAGAAAAGATTAAGAAGTATATATCATCTTAACCAAAATTCTTCAACATTGCTTGATACATTTCCACGTTATGATCACTGCTCAAACTATTGACATAAAACATAGACAAGATTTGATTTTGTTTTCTGCTTTGACTAGCGAAACCTTAGGACATAAACTGATATGTTTGTTTTATTTGAGGTCTGGAATTTAACTTGCTGGTCCTGTGGTCCGGGAATAACCTGCATTATGAATCTAAATGTATTTTTAAAACCCTATATTATGAACTTTAGAATGCTGCTACAATTGAGTTAACCTCTTAGACTAACATTGTTTAGCAGCATTTGTATCTTTAGGTTTTTTTTTGGTTCGATAATGTCAATACTGTTATTGCATACTTGGTTTTGTTATCTCAAACTACTCATCTTCATTTTCCATGCACAGTTAATGTAATGAAATCTTCTTCAATGAGTTTCATATTATTTACTCATTAATCTTAATTAAACTGAGTTTGGAAATTTGAAACTGATACATCTGGTATCACCACATTTGGCACTATGACATGATTTATCTTTTACAAGATCCTTAAAAACAAATTTAGATCCCAGCACACAGATGAACTACAGGAACCTCTTGGAAGGTTGAATAACACAACCAGATAACATAAGAAGACAACAATAATAGTGTCTCTCCAAAAATAGAATAAGAAAGAATCTATCAAAAATGGAATGAGTTGTCTACCAATTCAACATGAAGAAGTCATTGAGATACAAATTCACCATCAATTAGGAAATAAACTTATGATACAGGTACCACAGATAAAAGAGAAATAAATGCAATTTCTTCACCTAAGAGTACGAAAGTAAGTAATGAAGAAATATGAAATTCATGGAATATATAAAGCTCATGCACAAGTCAACTGGCTGAGTACAATAAACATAGGATGATAGGTATCCCCTTACCAATATTAGAGGGCACCAATTTTCCAAACGAAACAATAGTAAAAGCTTGGTGAACAATATTAATCTCTGGAATCTGGATTCGACAAATATTGAAAGTCTCGGTTACCCCTCAGTTGCAGACAAAAATTCTGGTCAGAGATGAATAGAAAACATCTATCACAAGTAACTGCAAAGAAATCTTCCAGCACCTTTGTCCCAAACACCAACCAAAAAGCTTTTCATACTATACAAATATGGGAACTAAATGTCAAAATGCACTTGGGGTTAAATGATTCTGCAAGTTTAACAAATACCAACTGTTAGCAACTATTTGACTGCCTGTTCAACAGCCTCTGCAGCCACTTCTGTTTTGTTTTCATTTATCTGAAGAAGCTCTAAAGGAGTTGCTGCCGGATCCAGCTCAAAGAAACCCTTAGGAGCATTTTCAGCTTCTTCACCAGTCAGTAAATACGAAGGCACTTGATGTGAAAACCGAAACATCTCTTCTTTTGGTATTCTCTTTAATTTCATAGGATCCAGGTGACGACAGAATATTGTTCTAAATCCAGACACTTTCACTAAAGGGATTATAGACACACCCTGTTCCTCACTATAGTCTTCAAGTACTTCTACCATATCATACTTATAAATAATATCATCAGCAGTGTGTTCATTCCACTCTGGAGACCAGTTTCTATAAAGAGCCCACGTTTCACCTTTTCTCGGAACAATTTTGATGACACCACGGGGGCCCTTTTCCCACCTGACCTTGTGAGAGAAAATATTAATTGTATCATTCACCTCATATCGTCCTATCCTGAAATCACCACAGGTTTTTGGAAAACCAGATGCAACCCAATTCAAAGGCCCAAACTCACTATTTGACCTTGAAGTGAGAAAACTCATGCGCACTTTAAAAGGTTTCAAAGAAATAACTTGCTGAACCAGAGCATAATACCGAGGCATACCATCCTCATCATCATAAGTGGCCCATATTTGATCACTTTCAAAAGATTGCTCTGAACGGTCATTATCAAAATCATGAAAATCTGGATCAGGAACAACTATTGACACCGGTTCATTACACTCATTATCTGAATCAGAAGATTGGACATTGGATGAGTTCTTCTCAGTGGCAAACTGTTCAGTATCACTCATAGACTCAACCACTCTGTCTTGATTAGTGGCATTGCGATGAACATTGTTTACCTCTTCATTGTCAGTTTCACTCAGTTTTTGTTTCTTTTTCACATTTTCTTTTGCATCTATTTTTTCAGTGGCAGCAGATTTCCAATCTTCTAGCTTCTTATGTATTGCTAACTTAGTCATCTCAATCAACATACTTCGAATATCTATATGAGGAAACTCCCTACCTAAGTTGTTATGTCTCACACCTGTTCTGAACTTGCAGAAGTCTCCATTAACCCCGCTTGTCCTATTTGTTTCAAACGCACCAAATTGTTCTGCCGAAGCTGCTGCATTATCACTCGCAGCGTCTTTGCCAACACCTCGTGCTCTCTTTGCAGGTAATGTGTCATTTGACCCTACATTAATAATTCCACATGTACTAGCATTCCTCTTTAGGTTACTATTTTTCCTGTGAAGAGCCTCTTCCCTTCTAGCTGCTGCTTGTGCCTCTTCACGCTCTTTTCTCACTTTCTCATAGGTCTGATGGACAACATTTGCAGCTTGGGCAGCAGCAGCTGATGAGGCAGTGGCACTTGCAACTCCTGCACTTCGAGAAAAAGGCCCCCACTGGAAGTTTTGGTTATTCAAAGAACCCAGATTTGCTCCATTCTGGATCCCCGAAGATCCCATGCCTGGAAGAGTCGAGTTACTTCTCCCCAGACCAGGGGCATTTTTCCTTGTTGAGTTGCGGTTAGAGCTCGGTTGACACTGCTGAGATGCAGACCATGGGCCCGAAGAACTAAATCCATTGGCAGAACTCTTTGTCTCTTTAGCTAGGAAAGGCTCATGACAATTTGGACAAAGAAGATTATGATTAAGATACACCCTGAGATACTCATATTGCATTTTGCACTTATTACAAGATGTCCAAAATGTTTCCGGTATTGGTGGCTCAGGTGAAGAGTGCGCAACCGCTGGAGTCACATTAGTGCTATTCTTCACAGAATGCACCTTTGATGCAGCACTGTTGGCAGATTTGTGAAACCCATTAACATTACTAGAAAAATTGTTATTTTTGTTTGGTCGGGAAGTCTTTTGTGAGAACACCTTAATACATCTCTTCTGGTCATAGAGTGTTCTCCTAGACTTATCAGATAGGACACTCCATGCCTCAGAAATGAGCTGAAAAGCACCTTCAGCACCAACAGATTTGTTCTTGTCAGGATGAAGCTGGAGAGCCAACTTCCTGTACTGTTTCTTCACTGTATCTTCATCTGCTGAAGCACTGACACTGAGAATCGCATACCAATCCTTTTCACCGTAAACTTTTTCTTCCGAGGCAACATGAACATCTAGAGTTGCTATCATCTGGCCAATGCCTTCAAGCGCTGGAAAGAGATTTTGGGCCTTCATAGCAAATTTCCTGGCACCCTCTAGATCCCTTTCCGAGAACTTCCTCTCAGCAATCTCTTTTGCTCTAACGGCCTCATCCTTATTGCAATCCATTCTCCAATCTTCTTCCAACAATCAGAAATGCTCCCTTTCCATCTTATATTTAAACTTGATGTACAGCACAGCAGCAGCTCTCAGAATACCTTCAAAACAGGAAACCAATAATTCGCCTCAATCCTAATAACAGAACGAAAGGCAACCAAAACTCAAGATTTTCAATATATTGGGGTGGGATCAAACGATAACAATAATAGCAAAAAAATCACAAGTTCAAGCCTGATTGCATACAACAGATCCTTTCCCAAAGCAGACGTAAAAAGTAAAGCAATCACCAGCGAAACAAAACCAAAGCTCCAACATATTTCGTCAATCCATTCCCACTAAAACGACATGCATGAACTCGAATTTAATGGTATTGCAAATAGCTCAAGATCTCGACTATAAAGACGTCAACAATGGGGCAAGAACGAGACCGGAATGATCTCACAGCTTGAAAACACCATGCTGGCTTCCACGCAGAAGAACGAGAAAAAACATCAACGAAAAACAAATCGCACGAAAGGAGATTAGGTTTACCAAGGCGAAAAACTCAATTCCGGGAGAAGGAACCTAGAAACCCTAGACGGCGCGATCTCCGGCCACCGGGCGGGGCCGGCGGCGAAATCAGATCCGCCAGAAAGCGCGAGACGGAGAGATTACCAATTTGGAGGAAATCGAGGGGATTGGCGGGGATTTCAAGCTCTTACATCACCGATTCGGGTTTCCCCCCAAATCCAAAATGAGAAGCCCCACAATACGAAATGAAAACCCCTCTCAAGCATACACACAACTCCCAAATACCAAAATACCCAAAAGGGGGAGAGGTCACTTTTGGGTGTTTGTCCACCATCATTTATAGCATTTTTTTTTAACCCTAACCCTAGTTCTAACCCAACCACACTTCAAAAAAAAAAATATATATATATATATATATATATTTATATATATACATATATACATATATGAAAAAATAAACCCTAACTAGAGTTGAGGGAAATAAAATCCCAACCCTAACCCTATATATGGGTCCCACATTCTATTTTTATTCACTTTTGAGAAAGGATAATTAAGCATGTTATTTGTCTTTAATCTCTAATGCTTGTTGATATAATAGAATAGAGTTCATAATTATGGTTATGGTTGTAAATTCATGGTTAGTATTATTTTCACATTTACTCCTCTTCATTTATTCAATGTGAAATGTGATTATGAGAAGTATTAGTTTTGCAATTCGAAATTGGAGGTGGAGTTGAATTTTTTTAATCATATAATAAAAAATCATGTTCTAAAAATATATTTTACAGATTAAGTATGAGACAAAGTATACTTCAATTTGCAAGTGTTTTCTTCCTCTTAAATGCTTCATTTGATGATCAGATGATGTATTCTTCCTATATTGAAACATGCAAAGGAAGGTTTATTTCTTAGGCCAAGGACTAGAGTTAGATTGGTTGACTTCCTTGGTTAAATTAACTAGGATACAATTAAAAGACATACAAGTTTGGTTATGTTAACTTGAGTTAGGTTAGAGGAGTTATATGGACCACTTGAAAAGATACCCCATCTCTATTAAACTAGTAAATAAGAACTCCTTGAGAGTTGAATCCCTTCACTTTTCTTGTTTCTGGAACCCTCCATGGTTTTCCATCATGAATTACTAGTTTTATTGATCTAACATAGACTATAATTGAGAAGATTCAAAAGAAGAGAAAAGAAGGGGAATGGAAAGTAGGGGATGCAGGTGTTCCCAACATTGGCATTATATATATGAATATTATACAAGCAACTACAATAAATGTAAAAACAGATGTGCATGAACATTGAAAAATGTTAATGCACCACAATCTTATATACTTGAAGATAAGCATATAATCTTGAAGATATAACAATTCATTTTCCTTATAATGATGATAGAGATAGGAGGATTAGTCACCATAAAGCTTATTGCTATCATCAAAAAAGTATATTATTATGATTTTTACACAATTATTTACTTATCCATCATCAAATCATTGATGTTACCATTCTAGTTATTTCAGGCTATTTTTTCCATAAGAGCAAAATGAAAGTACAGGTAACAACTAAGAAGAATTTTCAAGAAGCCATCAGACATGAAATCAACTCAAATTACTCCATCAAAATACTCCATGATTATATATGGACACATCACACTTGATCCTAATTAGGGCAGAAAATGAATGCTAAGTTAAGCCAAAAGCAATTATCAACCAATAATTATGTTTAATTTTATACAATAACAAGAGAATATAACAGGAAGGGAAAGACAAGCTTTGTAACACAAATTGCCAAAGACCTTTTTATTCTGCATATTAAGGAAACAGATACAGAGTATATCATATAAGATATTTATACACTCTCAAGCAACTCCTCGGAGTTCTCATTGAAAAATTTCTGTAGTTATGAGTATTTGGAGTTGATCCTGATGTATTTATGATGCTGATCTTTTCAAGTAAGCCATTACTCCGATACCAGCAATTAGCGCTGCACCTGCTGCAACAGACCTGTATGCAGTGGCCCATGCATCCGTATCTGCACACTCAAGATCTCCTGATCCATGACCCTTCTTCTTGTGACCCAAACCCGAGAAATCCAAATGCAACCTTAAACTCTGCAAAATAGAAGAGCTTACCGTAAGCATCCAATCCATTCCATTATCACCTTCAACGATTGTAATGTTCAGTAATAACAGAATGCAACGTAGAGTGTTGTTTGAACCATTGGATATAACTTCACTATACTTCAGTCTGAATACCAACCAATGGCTACTAGTCCTTAGATCAGTATTCCCTAACATCTTTCAACATAACTATCTCAATTGGTTTCCATTATTTTGTCCTTAATGAACACACATATCTTCGTGGAACTTCAACTGTACTTAACCAACAATAAGAGTTATATGAAAGAAAAGTTTTGAGAACTTAATCAAACATGTTGGCATCCACCAGTGTCAAACAAGAAACATGATACCTTCCAACCAGATTGTCTAGCATGGTCCACTGCCGCTACAAGGTCACTGTCTGATGCAAGGATAACCTTGTCATGGTCCTCGTCTTCGTACTGGACACATCATCAAGATATCATGTTGACAAATATGTAACTAGCTAAAAGGTACATGAATTCTATAGTTAAACAGCTAGATAATTACCAATATCTGTGGAAGATGATTTCTATCGATATCATCACCCACGCCCTGGAGTATACAAGTTATAAGATCTGCCAAGCTGTGTGTTTCTGCACCATGAAACTAAAAAGTGATTAGTCCTAAAACCAAACTACTCCCCTGAAATTTTGATCAGACTCCATACCACAATTAAATCTATGCATTCTCTGCTGTTTATCCTCGAGCTTAAAGCCAAAACTAGCTGATAAGTCTGAAGGTGGATAAAAGGCTGATGATCTTTCTGTATCTGCGGTAACTTGTGTAGATCCTTCACTGAAGTGCTACTATGGTGAGATACGGATGTTATTGATGAACAAAGAGTTCGGTGACTGAAATAAGATAACAGTAAGAAACCTTTGACAATCATCATCATGATACAAAGGTTGTAGGGACAATGCAGAATCCAAAAAGTTCTGCATCATGGAACTTGCTGTTTCAATTCCACCACCTGTCCTGCTTCCCACCTACATATCCAATACAGAACATTGTCATGTGGCATCATTGATTAATGACACTGGTTGCATGATCCAATACATCCAATTCCCCAGTTTATGACATTTTTTTTTTTTTTTTTGTAACATCTTCTCAAAACAGGCAATTGTAATGTGACTGACGCCATCAGGTTTGCAAATTCTGAAGTTAGTTCTCAGCACACTTATTTTTTCAAGCTCAGTAATTATACTTGAAAATGATGCTGGCATGCCGTCTTAAGTAGATTGAAAAGATCAAGCAGATCCAGACACGGAATAGCTCAAGAAAGGTACCAAATGACTTACAGCAGCTATTGCAGCATGAGCAATATGAATAACATCAACAACTGCAACAACGTCCCCATCTGTTGCAAGGCATAAACTATCTAAGTAACAATCGAGGAGAACATCTTCCATTTCTCATGGGTAAGCATACCTCTATCTACAACAGGTAGATGCAAAAATTTCCTGTCGTGCATTGTATGGAGAGCATCAGCAATTGGTGTATCAATTGTCCCACACTCAGGATTTGGAGTCATGACCTGAATGTTAAAATTAAAGGAAAAAAAGTAAAGCATATCTCTTCAGCAGAATCTTAGACATAAAAGTGAGTTCTTGAAGAATCAAATTGAGAAAAATAAGATACTGAAAAACAAAGGCATGAATGAATAATTTGTCACCACAACAAATCAGGTTTGCTCACCTCTAAACGAACTCAAATTAGTGAAAGTCGCTGGCCTATTAAGTATGTAACATATGTTACTGTCTGTTCTTTACCAGCATAGAAATTGGTGTACAATGGTGTGAAGTTTTATATATAACTTGCACTTGTTCAGCTACATATTTTACAGGCGAATAGCTGACTTCAAAATGAATCTAGATTAAAATAATTTTATTCCAAATAAGAATGATAAATTAAACCATTTGCAAACAACATAATTCAACTATATAATTTGGGCATCTTATATAACAAGATGTGATGAAAAACAAATCAATATATTCTTAAATTATTCAAAAAATAAAAAATTCCAAGTATTTCTTTTTCTAATTCTGTTGAATCAAAGTAATATTTCATATACACAGAAGAGAACATGATTATGTTACAGTGCATAAAAGAATTGGAGTTGCAATCAGGATCCACAATGTGATATGACCCAATACGTTTTAGCACCTACAGGATGATCCTATACTTAATCCATGAATACATGGTTTATATTAGAGTACAAACGAGTATCAATTAAGAGGAAAAATGATTTAATTAAATTGCAAACTCTAAAATGGCTGCAAATCATAATATGAGAGATAAATTAGGTCCGAAAATTCCAAGCCACTATTTTTTGCTACAAAATTTCATAAGTCATTTCTTACTCATACTTTTTTGTCCAAGGTATTATTTGGTCGCCAGGGTAATAGAGAACTGTTCTTCTTGGTAAATCTCTTTTTTGTTGTTTAATTAATAGGAAATATTATAGAGATTGAATTTGCTGACTTCTATGAAAAGTTTGGATTTCATTTTATATATTTTTATCCTGAAAACGAAAGAGAACTTCTTCCTACGGCTTTTCAACATATTCTTCCAAAAAGAGACTCACTTCATATTTTTTTCATAAATTTCAAATGCAAGAAAAAATTTAAATGAAGCAGTTTTTTTTTCAATTTCCTGCAACCATGCAACCGAACAACTCCAAGAAAAGAATTCTTTGGTGGAAAATTTTCTTCCACCTTTTTCTTTGCAACAAAAGTGGTCCCATGCAAAAAGAATCTCCAGAAAATCAATGTCAACAGAAACTTAGCGGGGACGAACAATGACAAGAAAAAGCATGTATCCGATGAGATACCTTTTTCACAGGAGTCAATTCTGGAGAAACATTCTTGGCAATTACTCGCATTAAAATGTCTCTTGAACTGATCAATAAAGCGAAAAAGTGCTTAGCAAAAGGACAAAACTAAATAAGGACAACCAACATAAGATTAAGAAGCATACGTCAAAATCCCCTGAAGTTTATTTTCAATTGTTACGACTGCTGAACTTATTTTCAGCTCAAGCATTTTCTTTGTTGCAGTTAACACTGAATCAGTTGGTGAGACCGTAACAAACCTAGGAAAAGGTTCCACCATCAGCAAATTGAAAAATTGTTGGTTGTTCGTATGCAATATTTTGGTCAGCTACTAGCAAGCAAAAGAGTAATATATTATGATGCATCAGTATGTAAATTCCAAAATATAATATTACCTACTTCGAGTTCTCTTGAATGATGGTTGATAAACGTGGCCTAAAAATCCACTCTTGAAGAGTTTCAATAAATGTCGCAGGACCTAGAGAGCACAAATCTTAAAATTGTTATGAGTTCAACTGATTAATTAGTTGCCAAGCAATAATCATTTTTCAGAGATTTTGAATAGTGTAATGAAAAGTTGAAAACTATAATGTTTTTAAGCAAAATAAATAATGCCATAATCATAATAAACAAGATTTTTTTTAGAGCATAAAGGATCCAATTAGAGTACATATCTAATCCACCAACCAGAAAAAGATGAGCCCCAATGCTTTTCCATCCTTTGAACAGCAGCTGCAATGGCCTTTCCCTTTTCAGCTTCCCTTTCCATGCGTGCTATTGCATCATATAGACATTTTGCTATGTCAAGTAAGCCAATGACTTCACCATTTTCAACAATGGGCAAATGTCTAAACTTTCCTGAAAGTTGTAGGAGGAAGTTATATTGATAACAAATTTGATATAAAAGGGATAGAGATGCCTCAAATGTTCCATGATACAAACCTTGCACCATTTTCTGCAAAGCTTCAACCGCCAATGTGTCCGAAAGCACAAAAAATGGATTTCGAGTCATCACTTTTGAAACTTGAGTTTCTTGAAGCTTTAGTTCTCGAGCAACAACTCTTGTGGTTATATCCTTACAACAGAGAAAAAAGAACAAAAAACATAAACAGCATTATGGTCTCCAACACTCCAACTTCATTCTAATAAAGGTTCATGCATAACACAAACGAAACCTTGTCTGTTAGGATTCCACAAAGCAATGCATTTGAATCTGTTAACAATACAGCATCAACCCTTTGTACAGCCATCCTACGGCAGGCTTCATGCACAGTAGAATTTTCAGCTAGTGTTAAGGACTTTGACAATCGTATTCCCCTTAAATTTCTGTCTCCAATCAGAATCCTGCCATCAGGGATAAAAATATAAGATATTTAATACCACAACTGCAATATTTTTCACTTGTGGATAGTATGTCAAACTAACCTATAGAAGTAGCTAAACAGCAACCAGCAACATGAACAAAGATTAAATAGCAGTAATGAGACAATCAAAGTCTTGTCAACTTACATTACCATATAATTGTTCAAGAAAGCATTATATTAAATTTAGCTCACATCATTGCAGTGATCGTAATAGAAGAACGATCAACTTTTGGGGTTCATCCGGGAACGGCAAAACTGTATAGACCCCAGAGCCGATGTGCTCACGCCGATAAAGACAAATGATGACTTATCAGTGACAAAGTTAAGCTGAATTAGACAAAGAGACCTAAACAATTTAATGCTACGGCGAAAGCACCCTGATTTCGTTCATTAAACATCAAGTTCCACAAGTTCATCCTAGGTTATGAATCCTCTAATCTCCGATGTTCAACCCGAAGATATATCACAAAACCAGGAACAAAAATCAACCTTTACCTATTGAAGATTATAAGAAGACGAAGCAAATGAGATAGGCCAAATGAATCGAGCAAGAGAATTCTCGACAAGAAAAAGGGACAAGAAACACACGGGGAGCGAGTTATAGAAGTCCGCCCGACGACATCACCGCTGCCGTTATCCGGTGCCTTCTTCCTCCCGGATACGCTCCTTCGCGACGACCCGCCGGCGCCATGGCCGTCCATGAGTTTATCCGACGATGAACGACGCCCCTTCCCACCCCCAGCCCCACCAGTCTCCTCCGCCGCCGCTACTATACCTCAGACGATCGCCGCTCTCTCTCCGGGACCCCCGAGTAGAATCCGATCGCCGGCAACGGCGAGCGGATCGGACCCGAGAGACATGGGAGAGATCCGGGCTTCCTCCTCTTCCCGGCGAATGCAAGCTTCGATATAACCTACAGAATTATTTTTGGACGAATTACTTGGAAAAAAAAAAAGGTTTTCTTGTTTTAAGTTTCTAAAAAAACAAAAACAAAATTAAATTTAAATAAAAGTTATTGGAAGAGTATGAAAATATAATGTCTACCTAAAAGTACTCAAAAGAATCAGTTTTCTATTTTTCGTAAATTTCTATCAATTCATAACTATTTACTATCATAATACATGTAAATGGCATATAGTTTTGAGTAGAAACCATATCAAATTTTTTAGTAAACTTTTGAGTTAGAACCAAATTATAGCAAATTTTAATATGATTATAAAGTTCGATCAATAAATTTTTTTTCAAAATATGATTAACCGTAAGTACGAGTTGTGAGTAGAGTAAATAAGTAAGTAATAATAAATCAAAAGTAATAGAAGGAATACAAACTAATTTATAGTGGTTTGGTCTTTCCAATTTACATCTACTCTTGATTTATTTTCGCTGAAGGTCACTAGCTTTCATTATCATTTTTTTTTCAGATGAAGATCAATTATCCTTGTTATAATTTTTTTTTTTTAACAAGCTTAGAAGAAAACTTTCATACTCACTTTTTTTACAAGAACTCTCACATTAGGCTTTCATTACCAATCTTTTTTTCCAACAAATGAACATCAATTATCATTGTTATAGCTTTTCGCCTTTTAATATGCTTAGGAGAGAACCCCTATACTCACTTTTTTACAAAATCTCTTATCTCATACAACATAGAATCACCTCTAAACTCAAGAAAGAGGAAGAGACTCAAACAATGCTCAATGAGAGAGTTATAATCCTACATAAACTTAGAATTTAATGCTCCATCATTTATACCTTAATATGGTATTTATAGGCCCCAAAGGCTTCAAAATAGAGTCAAAAATTTTAAATCTCCAAAAAATTTAGGGTATGGGCGGGTACTACACTTGATGGTACTAGCATCGCAACTTTTGACGCCATAATTTTAGAATTTTGGGTAGTGCCACCATCCCAAAATTTGAATTTTCGATGGTACCATTGCCACCCTAGGTAGTACCATTGCCGATAACACTAACAAGCATAATTTGTGCTTGTCGACTGATTCAAGTGGTTCCATTACTCAAGCCTGCTTAAGGCCACTGTTTTGACCTTCTAATGGGCATAGTTTGGCCCAGGTCCAAGCTCATTGGCTTTCTCGACAAGTTAGCATGGTTTCGGTTCAATACCAACTCAATTTGACCTACAAAGATCTCGATCAAATTTTAACAATCCAATCACAAATTCGACATAATTATGAAGCTTTTCAGCACATTGTATACCATTCTGATATATCGTTCGATCTTTCAGCACTTCGTTTGTGCCTTTGATGCATCGTTCTTTCTTTCGATATATCACCCGATCTATTGGCATGTCGACTTTCTCACGACATCTAATCTTTTAACGTAATACTTGATCCTTTCGGCACAATGTCCGAACTTCACAAACTCTAATTTTCAACATATCGACCAATTCTTTGACTCGTCCTCCGATTTTCGACATGATATTTTTCTTGACACAATGTTTGATTATCTTGTTTCGGCAATTTACTCTTAATGATTCGAGTCATATTTTCGGTTATCTCAAAAATATATTAATTAATTCAAGATTTAATTTTTTTTATATAATATTAAATTTTATATTATACGAAAATCGACTTGACATGATGCATCCGCTTAGTATTTTGAGATAGGATATGAAAAGGATTAAGAGAGAATATTTGATATTAAAAAATATATATGCGTTCACTAATCATCGCCCCTTCTTCGGATTCAACAAAATTTTTGATGAGTTTAATCATATTGACATGATGTATTTGATCATTGGGTTTTTATCGTGTCGGGGGTGACATGACTATTATATATCGAACTTTGAATAAAGACAAATATTCTCGTATCATTACGGTCTATTCCTAGATAAATTTTTAAATAATTATATGTTTAAAAATAATTACACTGAATTTGTAATTAGTTATATTTAATTACCAAATTATTTATTATATCATTCATAAATGAATTATAAAACATGAAATCATATTTTGTTTCTTTTTGGTCGACCTGAAAACTAAGATATTCTTAATATTTTCATATTATATTTGACTTCTCGAAAGATGCTAATATAAATTAGGATTTACTTTGGGATATATGCCAAATTAAAATCCAGAGCAAACCGGTCTAAGGGATTAAGCCGGGTCGAGGTGAACCGTGGGCCGGTTCAATTGGCTCTTTTTTATGGATCGACGGGGCTTTCTCGTCGAAGCCTTGCAATAGTCCTAATGAAGACGGAGAACTGCTTCGCGGCCCCGCCCCTGGCGGAAGGAGCCGCAGCGCAGCCGTCCAGCGCAGATCGGACGGCCAGGGGAGCCTCGAAGTACCTCGCTGGCCTCCCGTCCCGCGGCCTCTTCTCCTCCGCTGTGCTCTCCTCCAACCCGGTACTGTTTCCTCCTCCTCATCCTCTTCCGTCCCCCGAACCCTTTCTGCTTTTTCCCCTCTCATTCCAGGGTTCATTCCTTCCTTCCTTTCTTGTTTGTCGGAGTAGTTCGTAAGTAATTTCTGATGAGTTCAGGGCGATTTGTAGGGTGGCATACGGGTTTACGTGTGTGATCATGAGACCGCGCCACCAGGTTATTCTTTTGGTCCCCATCTCTTTCCTTGGTTGTATCTCAAAGTTCGAATTTTCCCCCTGTCACGATCTTATTTCGCCCTACTATGTGTTCTATATATCATTTTCTTTGAATGCTGTGAATACAAACTATTTTCCGTATGGCGTGCACTGAAACTTTGCTAGCGATGATTTGTGTTCCATGATCGGTTTAGTCTGTGATTTGGTTTCGAATCCAAATATTTGCCATCATGCACACATAGGGAGTGGCTGAGCAGTTCTCTGGTTTGTTTCTGATTCATTATTTCGGGTCAGGGTAACTTCATTTTCATGCATTAGGAGTTCAATCATGTTTAAATTTGTTGTTTAGAAAGATCAATTTATGACCATTTGAATCTGTAAAGGTTGTTAACTTTAAAATTGCAGAAGAAAATATCAACAGAGGTGGAACGTGAATTAAGTTGATATCGCATTTGTCTGGAAGCAAAGTATGTTGATTTTATGATTGTGTATTGAGTAGGTATAGAATTTGCATTTGGAATTGTATTTCATCTGATTTGGCTGAACAACCACTTCATGTCGTGCTTGTTTTCTCATGTTTCGACTGCTGGTAGTTTTAGGTGGTTGTATGACTAAGATTTTCCCTTTTTCTTTTGTTAATTTAGAGGGCCAAGTAATCAAGACAAACTCAACAAATATATTGATCAGAGCTCTCCAAATTAACAAACAAAAGAGTGATGCAAAGGATGTAATTGCTAAATCTGCCGCAGATAGCAGCACAGTCAAAAGGTATTATTTGCTCGACAATTTTTTGATACAGATTCATGCTTATACACGAAACACATGCATACCCCTTCATTTCTTTTGCTAGATGGTACTTTTCTTTAGATTTGTCCCCTTACATGTTGACCTTATTGGTAGAATCCTCATTGAAGTTACTTTGCCAGCACAATAGATTTTCATTTATTTGTGGATTCCTATGAATCAGAGTGACAGCTTATTCAGTTTGTGCTGCAAGCCAAATATCATCAAATAAAATTTGCCATACCATGCTAATACTGGAAATTTACGAACACCAATAAGCAATGAGACTGTACTATTCTTTGCTATGTTTACATCTTGACTTTTTTTATAGTAAAACTGTAAAAGATTGCTGGAAATAAAGGTAAGTTATAGTCTCCAGATGTAAATTCCTGTTCGCAGCTTTGCTAGAAGTTCTAAAGAACTTAGAGGACACAATGAATTTCGGTCAACTTGTTTGCGTCTTTTATAGATGGAACTGTTATTGGTGCGTTTTATGGTCTATTGAACTAGCAAAGAGTTTTTTTTTTTTTTTCCAGATCTGCTGTCAGAACTTCGGAGAGAAGGTCTCCACCAAAAAAGATGAAGACTAGTTCTGCTTCTACTAGTCATCGAGGTACCCTACCACAATTTTTAGTTGCTTAACCATGTGGGATGAAAAATTAATTAGGTTAGAAAAGCATCTATGTTCAATGGCTTTTGCTAGCGAATTACTTGAAAACATTTGTGATTTTGGAAACTAAAAAGGAAAATATTTCTTTTATGGTTTTTACCTTTGATATAACAAATCAACATGTGAAATAAATAAATAATAATAATACTGACCAATATCCTAAGAACTTCTTAAAACTAATATTTTTAGGCTGTTCTTGTTTTACCTTCCCATTGCCAGAGCTGATGAAGTTTTCTTCGAGTAGTAGTGAATCAATGACATTACTTAAATTAATAATAAAGAAACTAGCAGATAGATGGAGTTAATTGGCTTGTTGATTATACCTATTTTGTTAGGGTTCTGGAGTTCCATGCTATGGGAATATGCTATCCTGAGCAGTCGTATATACATATATACATATATGTGCGCCACATTGAACAAATAAAATTTCTATTTAATTTATTAATACATAGGAACGACAACATGACATATTGGTGGAAGTTAATCCATATTGCAAACTGCAGAGTATGTAAATCAGCAATATAGTTCTTGGGACAGCCTGCCTGATTAGCACTCTGCAATCTGCATCATTTTTAATTATCTGGTACATGGTGCAATGGTGGTTATGGTATCTGTATGTCATCATTGCATATGTAAGCTAGCCAAGGGTAAGATGGCCTATCACATTGAGTTATGTCCTGCCAGTATTACATGATTACATCATTAAGAGGGGGTCAACCAAGCAAAAAAGAAATTCTTGCGGACAATTCTTGCTGTTGTATATATGTACAGCGTGCTCAAGCTGTGAAGTAACAAGTTCAAGTGGCAATTGTTTAAAATTCAATCCAGTTATTTCATTGTTAGTAAATAGACAGTACATAAGATTCCAGTTCATGAAACCTTTCCTAGATATC